AGACTTATTTTCCCACTAAAGACAATTGTTCTACAAAGTTATATGTCCGAACTTGTTTTATATTTCCAAAAAAGATATTTATTAATTTTTAAGATGCAACAGATTTTAGTTTATTTGCTGTGTTAACATAAGCAAGAAAAATAGTTTACTACTTAGGGCAATAGTTCCCAAATTTGTTTACAGAGAAGGAAGCTCACCTTCAAAATTTTGTTTTTACACCCATACTCCTATTTTTTAAAATGTGCCAATCATATTCCTTTGAGATACTATAGTAAACAACCTCTTGCTTCCATTCCAAGGTTGTCCTCACTAAATGCTGAAAACTAGATGCTGGGTTTAAAATTGGACCCACTGCCATGGTCAGTCTGCCATAATTTTCTTTCCGGACAGACAAATATTCAGAATTCAAAATCAGTTTTTGCTCAGTTTGTCCACTGTTAACAAGCAAGGCATTTTGCCTATTTGGTCTTTGGCCCATGTTAATAACTTGATGATAAGTAAAAGTATCATCTATTTAAGGCATTCTTCCCCAATTTGCTACTTTCAATTGAACTGGACTTCAATTTCCAGATTTCCCAGTTCAGAATTCTAGAAGTTAAAATCCAATGTATCTGGAGGGTGCCAAGTTAGGGAAGAGAATTTAAGGCTTGTCCTAGGAAAGGTGCTACTTTTTTCTTATATCTGACATAAAAGAAGCCTAAAATTTCTTTGTACTTAAGACAAATAAAAGAGTTTTAAAAGAATTATTGATTTTACAAATCCAGTTAGTCCACCTTGCAACCCAGATCTTCACGAAGCATTAAAATTTAGCCCTGAAACAATATGCTGTATGGTATACTTGTCACTTGCCTCAATCTAGAGGAAATGAAATACAAACATGTAAATTAGCATTCATTCTATCTACAGTATGGTGACAAGCAGGATTTCCTTTGGCATCTGGCCCGAGCTTATAGTGATATGTATGAAATCACAGAGGACACAGATGAGAAGAAATCCTATGCATGTGATGGTAAGAAGACATTTTAAGATTAGTGGGGTTTTTTTACCAAGGTAAAATGTTACAATGGTGCTGAACAAATGGAGATTATGACCAGTCCTCAGAGTTCCAGCTGTCCCAGCACCCCTGCAGTCATGATCATGATCTGGTAAAATTCAACCAGACACTTATTTGCCTAACCTGGAAAATATTTTCTGGAAGCAACATTTTACTGAAGTTTATTCATGTTGTTATAAAAAGAATTTATACATAAAAAACAAGTAGATTGAAAACAGTTCAGATAAACAGAAAACAATATTGCTTCACAAGTGCTGCAGTTATCTTTACTGCAAATATATTGTGCATTTGTGCTAGCTCACACTTCTGATTCTGGTCCCAGCTGTAGGCTGCTTTTCAGCTTTCTGAACATAAGAATATCTCAGTTGTCCAACTTCCTTTGCTTCTTACGTTGTCTCCTTTATATTTCCGTTAAGTGGCCATTTGCTTCTCATAGTAGAAATCATGTCCACTGTGTATTGAAATCCAAATCCCAGCTCATCTGCAGGCTGAATTTTGCCTGCATTGAATACTCTCTCTTGAATGTGATTGTATGTAATGTGTATCTTTAGTTCTAAATCTAGTTATAGGCTGAAAGCCATCTACTGTTGCCCTAATAAGAGATACTTTTATGTATGTTGAAAGTGCGGTTTGAAACCAAAGAGTTTGACTTTAATAGAAAGCAGCAAGAATCTTCCAGCTTTGCTTTGTGCTCTGGAAGAATTACAGTTAAATCCTTACAGGTAGTATTTACTGAAGTAGCAGGCTACAAAGCATACAGATTTTTTTAGGCATTTTATGTGACAGCTCAATATTATGTAGTTGTTTTTTTGAGATAATGAATGTGTAAGATTTCATACAATGTTAAATCTCCATTTGACAAAGATTAAAAAGTTGGATTATATTGCAGGCAAAGAAGAGGCCGAAATGGCTCTGCAGTTAGGAGATCAAAGTGCTGAGTGTCACCAATGGTATGTGGTTATTTACTTTATATAGATAAGGAAAAAGAGAAAACTATTTTACATCTTATATTTCTATATTATACCACACTTAGAAAAAAAACTCTGCCAGGAATGCAGCCCAGATCAAGAGTTACTGAATTCTAAATTATGCAAGATTAAATTACCCTCCTCCTGTGAATATTTGTTCATTTGGCAGAAGAGTCCCTGAGTTCACTGATAGTACTGGTTATTATTACAGGTAGTCCTTTACCTACAACCTTTCATTCAGTGACCATTTGAAGTTACAATGGTGCTGAACAAATGGTGATTATGACCAGTCCTCAGAATTCCAGCTGTCCCAGCACCCCTGCAGTCACATGATCGCTATCTGGGCATTGGCAACCGGTTCACATTTATGACTGGTTGCAGTGCCCCACAATCACAATTGTCATTTGCAACTTCCTTGACGGCTTTATGAAAGTCAGTGGGGAAGCCAGAAGGGAAGGTCACAAGACACTGTTGTGGGAAGCTGGCAGGAAGTTGCCTCACCTAACGACTGGGATTTGGTTAACAATGGCAACTGGGACTATAGGGATTGCTGTCGCTAAGCGATGTGGTCATGCTTTACAACTGCATCACTTAGCGACAGAAATTCTGGTCCCAATTGCTGTCATAAGTCAAGAACTACCTGTAATCAACATGGTAAATTTCTTCCTCCTCCACCCTTAGCTCTCAATCGCTATCAACAAACAGGCTCAGAACACTTATTCAGGAGGATTATACTATCTGTCTATATGAATGTCTATCCATCCACCTATCACTGTTAGTGAGTGATGGGTGTCCTTCATTCTGAAAATGTAGTTGGTGTTACTCTCTCATGAATTCTCCTCAATTAATTTACTGTTCTATCCTAATAAACATAAAAGAATTTTAGTACAAACTGTATGTCTAAATCATTTTACATATCTTAGCATAGAAAAATAATTTTATTGCTCTGATTGGCTACATGAAAACTATTATGCAAGTGGTAATAATTAACTCTTTTCCAAAAAAATAGAATTCTGTTGCAATCCAGCTCTGATTTTTACATTCTATTGAGATTGTATAATTGGGGTAAGATGCTTTGAGTTCTAAATGATATTAAAGATACTGAGTTCTAATTGATATTAAGCGCTCAGTGGGATGGAATGAGGTGAACTGTATTAGCAGAAGTACATATAGGACTACGTGGCTGCCAAAGATCCAGAAAGTTGTTCTTTTTTGTAAAATGCAAGATAGAAAATGCTTTATAGATGAATTCTGCAGCAAACAGTGCTAATGCTACAGCTCTTAACTCCTTGTATTCTGGCTATCAAAATGTGTGAGGTAGGAAGCTGCCATAGTGTCTGTCCACATATGGACATCCATTCTGCCTTTTCTGCTAGGCAGGAATTATTGGGAAAAACTGGATTCTTTCTAGATCTCACCTATCAACTCTCAGGTGTAGTCAAACTTTTTTTAAAAAAAGCTAAACATTGGCAGCACTGTGAACTGAAGACATCTTCTCCATGCTGTGCAAGACAGTTTTTACTGCATTGTCATTTCTATTCAGAAGACTCCATATGCTTCTAAAGGAAAGGAAAGTCCAGAGCAGAAGTGTACAAGAATTTTCTCCAGAGGAATTTGTCTGTCTGTCTATCAAAATTGTCACCACCCATCTAGTTGAAATGACTCTGGGTGGTTTACAGCGGAGATAAAATTCATTAAAATACAATATAAAACAGTCTTAATAATAAATAGCTTCCAAGAAAGATGGAGAATTGGGGAATAATTCAAGGGAGCGTTGTCAGGGTGCTAACCGCCCCCAAGGACAGTTAGTGCCCATATCACCCCATGCATACTGGCAGAGCCAGGTCTTTAAACCTTTTCAGAAAGCCGGGAGGGTAGGGGCCCCGCTGCCCCTCTGGGTGGAGGATATTCCAAAGGGCAGGGGCAAGGGCAGAGAAGGCTTTCCTCCTGGACCTCGCCAGCTGAATCACATTTGTCCTTTGAAAGACATGCTGGGGGCTGCACTGAAAATTAAGTGAAGGGAGGAGAGAAGCTAAACTAATTGTAATTAAATGAAATCAAAATTGAATTACTTTAATATTGCAAATATAATTATTACACACTTGTATTAAATATATACTTTGGCAGAAATTTTTAGAGGCTTTAGGGTTGCACACTAGGCTTTTGGGGGGGCCATGGTCCTGAGGCTATATGCTTCAGGAATAGAGCAGCAGCAGGAGAGGCAGAGCTTCATAGACCATGCGAGGTAGACCTCACTTAGCAACTGCCTTGGGTGGCAACCCTTTGAAGTTAACAACGGTGATGAAAAGGTAACTTTGCGACCAGTGCCCACATTTACAAACTTTGCAGTCTCTCAGTCACATGTTTGCCATTACAATCAGTCAGTACACATTGTCCTGGGTCTGACCTTTCTCCCCTGCCCCCATCACAGAGCAGAGAGATTGCTTAAACATGCAAACTCTTCCTGAGCTGCTTTTTTCCACAGTGCTTCCCCAAAAGGTGCTAACTGCAAATTAACAAGCTCAGCTCTGTGACCTTAATTAGTTAGTGCCTAGCTGCTGCCTATAACTGCCAAGACTTTAATCATTTTCACACCTTCTGGTTTTATTTGCCTCCTAAGTGGCTGGTGGCTCGGAGCTGCACATTCCTTTCAATGTGTATTCCCCATTGTGTGCCTGCTTACTCTCTTGTAATCCCTTTCTTTCCAATGAATGTAAATACAAACATTAATTCCCTTCTTGCTAATTAGCCCACCACCAGAGTGAGCATTGCAAAGGGTGGAGGAGTAGTGAAAAGGAAAGCTGAAGTAGAACCATAAGCATAGACACGGTCACGTGATTTTCCACTTAGTGACTGGGTCACTTAGCGACTGAATTGCCAGTCCCAATTGTGGTTGCTAAACGAGGACTACCTGTACTAGATATTATCTGTAAAGACAATACTCTTTTTGTGCAATGGAGCACATGGGAAATGTATCTTCAAACAAGTTTGGTGGCTGATTTTTATATAAAATACTAATTTAGTTCTAATGTTTAATCATGTAGTTCAGAAAGAGAAACATGCAAGAAGGGTCAAAAACTGGGACAACTCTGAAATGCATAGCAATTGTTTAATTTGCTGAATTGCCAATATACAAATTCTCAAAGCTAGCAAAAGAAGAAAAACATTGAATTCCCTTTCTATATTAGGATGTCTGTAGCCTCTTCATTCCTTAAAAACGTACTGTCTGAATTAAAAACCAAGATGGGAGATTGCATATTTGTTTTGGCTTCAGAATTTGATGTTTTAGGAAGAGCTGGAAGTACAGCTAGAACATTAGGGGATTTTAGTATTCTCTTGAGGGAAGAGGGTGCAGATGTAGCAACATCAGTTTATTCATATCGTTTTAAAAATATTTACTGAAAGCTTACAAAGCTGTCTGCATTACAAAAAGAGTGAGCTGGCCTTCAGACTAAATGGAGTTTATCATAGGGGATGTCTGGCTTTAGAAGGACAGAGATGTTTAATTAGAAACACTGCAGCACTTAAGCTTTCCAGAGTTGAATTGCTTCTAAATAGTATCCTTGTATTTTTGTGAACTGAATTTAAAATGTATTTTTTGACTTACAGTTGACATTATTTTAGGATAACTTGACCATCACCAAAACTTGTTGATCTGAAGCAAAGTTTTCATGTTCAGAACTGCATAGAGAATTAAACTTATGTTCTTCATGATATGATATGATGGAAGGGGCCATGGAATCCAACTCCAGAATCCAACTAAAAAATCCACACACAATAATTGTCCATCATATTCTTGAACACATAGTGCAGGGAAGCTCACCACTTCTCTGAGTAATTGGATCTATTAACAGACTGCACTTACTATTGGAAATCTTTTTTTGCAACATCCATTATTATTCTGACTCCTGCTTTCTGGGAGGATAGAGAACAAGTCTTGGCCTTCCTATGTAGGACATACTTTCACATACTTCAAGAAGGCTATCTTATTCTCCTTTTGAGTTTTTATTTTCAGGTCTAAATATTCCCAATTCTTCTTCATTGTGCCTGTCTATTTCTCTTCCTGTTTGTCCATGTCCTTAAAATATGGTATCCAGAATTGGGCACAGTACTCAAGGTGGGATGTAATTTTATTTGTTTGTTTGTTTATTATTTGATTTATAAGACAGCAGAACTCAACACAGGCCTTGGGTGGCATATAATTAAAAACCAGTACAATAAACAGACAAAAGAGACCATAAACTTAAAAATTACCATATTTATCAGTGTATAACCTCCACCTTAATTTTAAGAAGGACGTTTGAGTAAAAAAAATTAAAATAAATGACTTGGAAGCAAAATAAAAGGAGCTCTGAACTTTTTGTTTATTAATATT